TCTTGCAACAGAATTTGGCCGGCCCGGTAATACGATTTCCATCGGGGAAATATAATACAACGCCCGGCGGATTAATTATCTGTAGCAGCGCTGCGGCGGAGATTTAGCTAGCGTTGGAGAGATTTCGCGAATCAATTGAACGCGTTTAATTACGTGTATTGCGCATCATTACGCGAGACGGAAGCAGAGCGACCGGCTCGTACGATTTATCGAGCAGGCGTTGATCCGGAAGACGGGCCCACTTTCGCCGCGGCGCGTTGGCGAGCGGAACACACAGCCAAGGGAACGCGCGCGCACAGACAAGAGGAATCGTCGGTGTGCCGCGCGTCGCACTCTACCTACGACCTCACAGGACACTCGCCTAGTTTCACACACGGCTGTGACTCCACGACCTCTCTTTCAGACCCGGTGAAACGCTGATTGTCCTCCGCGGCGGCGGTTTTCTCGCGTGTCGGCCGCCGCGAGACAAGAGGAGACAACAGCCAGGTAACATCAGAAGAAGAAGAACAAGAAGAACAAGAAGAAGAAGAAGAAGAGAAGGAGGAGGAAGGGTGATCGTGCCTAGTAGCAAGAGAGGCTATGACATAAGTGAAATTAACAAGCACACGTGCTACCGGTACACACGGCAGGGACTTTCAGAAAGGACTTTTTCGCGATGGTATCGCGCCTCCCCCGCCGCGATTATCCATTACCGGGGCTTAATCATAAAGTAATGAGCGTAATTCGCCCCGGACTGCTTGTGAAATATTTGTGTTGACCGAAAAAAGACAACCGACCGGAATGACACGCATGCGGCAACACGCTTCTTCTTCGTCTTCCTTTTCCTTTTATCCGCCGCGCGACGATGTCAATTCTCTTTCGGCACACGTAATTATGACATTGTTCGACAACGCGGCGCGGACCGAGCATGAGAAGATCGGCCGTCGAGATGTTATCCTATAATTCAATATTTTGCGCAAGTTTGCTCGTTGAATATGCGCAGGAACTTTGTAGGCTCTTCTCTTTTCAGCTCCCTCTTCTACTTCTTCTTTTCTTTCCTTTTTTTTTGTTGTTGTAATAATCAGGAAGAGCAGAAATTTCTAGATGCTTATCATTAGCGGCTCGGTAATGAACTGCGAGAAATTGGGCGTAATGGCTGAGATCGCGTACGCAAAAACAATGGTGGCTTTTTTTCTCTTTTTGTTTCGGTCCATTTGCCGCGTCGCGATAATTAACCGGCTAAACCTTGCGCCGAGGAATAACGAGTCACGGTCCTCGAGAGCCGTTTCTCCCCGTAGAAAATGCTATTCCGTTTAAGTTTTTCAACGGTGTACAATTATTTCGCTAACGCCGGCGCGGCGTGTTTCAAGTATTCTCTCGCTTCTCTATAAATAACTACCCCTCGGGCGAGATGTTCGATTAAACGCTTGAGAGACCTGCCGTGAACGTTTAAGTGTAGTTCGAAAAAATTTGTTGCACTAGCGGAGGAATGCGAAAAATCTTGTGGACAGTGTATTTTTACGTAAACGATCGTTTTCTGCGTCGGTTGCGACAAGAACAACGGACTGATAAAATTTTGTCACGAAAGCACGCAATTCGCGTTAACCCTCTGTAGCTCAATGTAAACTTTGAACTCGCGTATTGATTTATCCTACTTTTTAATCGAAACGTTTTTTTTCAGCCATAATGTGGCGTTGTTTCTCTCCTTCTAATCAAAGGAGATTATGACATCGTGGTTCTTAACTTCCCCACTTCACATATCGAAGTATATTCAATCTTCCTTTTTAATTGCGAATTCATTATTAATTTATACGTAGACGTTGGTGTTCGCTGGTTTCACGATACATAAAACTTTTATGCAAATTTAAAATAAATATAGATATAAATATGTTTAAATATACATAACAAATGAGTGGATCCAAAAAAATTACAAAATATAGAAGTGCTTGAAGTTTCATCGAGCTAAGCGTTTAATGTAACGACAACAATTCGCTTGTCAAAAAGAATTAGGAAATGTAGCAAAATCGAGCAGACTGAGTGTAAAATTAACATGGTCAAAAATTAAATTAACGAGTGTACAAATGAGCGAAGACATCAAAGAAGCTTTTATACGCCTTTAATTTGCTCGCTACAAGATAACGGTGGACCTAATTCGGTTAATTATCATATTTCGAAATATTAAGCGTTATATAAAGTGGACGTCTAGTTAGAGATAAAGGAAGAGACGCGCGCGGTTCACTTTCTTCAGAATAATTAAAGCGGGGCATTACAGTCATTACGTGTCCCAGAATGAAAGAAAATTGATAATCACGTTCTAATAACTTTAGAGGCTCGTCATTAAAAGTAATACCGTCTTCAGTAAGTAGCCATTATCCTCGACAACATTTCACTCTTTGCCCTCAGCATTTCGCGATCAATTTACAATTTAACGTTCATGGGGGAGCTTGGCCAGAACTTGGCGGAAAATGTTTACAAAGCATTAACCTTGTTTCGAGCTACCCTGTTCGTTCAATGATGAAAATCATGCAGAAAAATACGTAGGATATTTGATAGCGTTGTAAATAGCTTATAGTTCGGTCGAATGGGGAAGCCTGCGTGCCATTTCTATGGCCGGTTTCAGCAGAAGCCCGTGGTTAGCTTCAATTAGGCAGATTTTAAGGAGCAAGATCGCCGTTCAAGGTGGTTAGTATTCCAGTTCAACGATTCCTCGTTTTCCCAACGGGAGAATATGACGCTTTCTACGTAATCCTCGGGCAACGGATCCCGCTAATTTCTCAGGAACGCATAATGTTACGTCTTCGAATGCTAATGCACCCTATACGCGGCGAGCACGGTAATGCGTCTTACGTTATTAATCTGTAACAGCGGCTTTCTCCGGCGCGAAATAATGCGAGCACAGACGGGGAAAGAGAGAAAAAAAAGAACGGGCACGAGGGAAGAAGCTACCAGGCTACAGAAAAATGGTTTCAGTTTTATGCGTGGAAACCGGAACTCGGAAGCGTGCGGATCGCGGATTTATGGGCTCTGACGTGTGTGACACGTTGCCGAGACGCGGCCCAAACGAACTGTTTCTCGCTTCGTGAGATGCAACGCGATGTCGACCATGGGAACCCCGTTTTCTTTATGTTTAATTAATCACACTCGTAATTATATTGTACGCCGCCGAGTCATATTGTTTTAACGCTTAAACTGCTGTTTACGACACGGTTGCCGCGTTCGCGAATATGGGTCGACGATTCTTCGATTCCGAAATGACTTTAAAATATCTTTCTTTTCTGAAATTGCGACACTTGCTTTCAGGATATCTAGAAAAAATTAGTTCTCGTTGCAACGAACGAAATTCGAACGAAAGTGAACTCTTTTGACGCGCGAAATTAATAAAAAAATTGTACTACACAAATGAATTCGCAAAAGATTTTATTTTAATTTCATCAAAATATATATATTACAGAACCAAAATTGAATTCTTTTTTGGAATTTCAGTCTTCAGATTCGCGATGTTATCTTTCAAAATTGTATTTCATAAATGACTTCACAAAAGAGACCATTTTCTATCCGATCGATTTGAAAAGCAAGAGCTAATGGATTCTAAAAAAATACTGAACGAAAGTTGAATTCTTTTTGGACGTTCAGTCTTTAGACTCTTTATCCAAAATCGTATTTCATAGATGAATTCATAAAAGACCATTTAGGTATTAAGAATATCTTCGAAGCAAGAATTTATCTGTTTCCACAAAGAGAATCAATGATAAAGAGAATCTACCAACAAATACCATAACAATACCTAAAGTATTAAAACATCCTCGAAGCAGAGCACTCGCTCGTCTTTGTAATGCCAGAAGAGCCTCTGATTTATCGGTTAGTCGTTTGACAGATAATTCCAGATCGAACTACTAAAAGAACATTTGCATACGAATGCGACTTGCATAACCGGGAGGTCGGCCGTAATGGATGCGTCGATCGCAATTTTCCCGTAATTATCGATGGGAAGTTGCCGGGAAGAACTTTACAGTTTCCCGCTCTAAGAAAGTTTCCTTTAATCTTTCTTTATGGAACAACGGAGCTTTTAATCCCCGCCGTGCCGTCCTTCGAGAAAACCGTCGGAGGAAGAAGAGAATAAATCAAGGGAGAAGGCGACAGTTCTCTATTGTTTATACCATATATTCTTACAATTCGGAGGTACATTTGTTCGAGACTCTCTATACGATTCAATGCACACGACGTCAATGCATTCAAATTCCAAAAAGGTTGTCTTGTGCGCTTCGAGGAGACGCCGAACGCAATCGAGGAACATGCCGCGCTATCCGCTACATATACGTTTTCTGGTCAATATCATACATAACACTCTTACGATATATACACAATACATTTCTTAATCCTGACTTATACTTTACTGAGATCTATGTCGGATCCAAGAACGTAACAACAAGTAACCCGTCGAGACATTCTGAGGACCGTACGAATGAACGATCGAGATCGATACAACAACGTTGGAAGGAGACGGATCATCGGTCCGTTGTACACATAAAATTATGGAACGATACGTTCGCATCAGGTATGAGTCGCGATTCGAAATCCGTCGCTTGCTATCACTATCGGAAATCATATATATATATATCACTGAGAATCGCGCGTAAAGCGAACGATCCGCGTTCGACCATAAACAGAAAAATCGTTGCTCGCCGTCAGACATTTGAAAAGAACGCTTACGAAACGCACAACGACGCGCGATCCGATTCATCGATTTCAAATGAAAAACCAGATGGAACGAGCCCGCTTCGTAAGAAAAACTAGACGACCGCGCAAATCGGTACCACCCGCGGAGACCGTGTGAAAATCGAGGGACGTGCTCGGATTGCTAGCCAGCATGTCCCCGGTTCGATCATTCGCCGGACAGCGAACGATTCACGTGACGCCGATTCGAACGAAGTTTCGAGTCCGCTCGATCCGTCAGATTTTTGGTCGGTTGTCCGGCGGCGCAAGGTCGGTAGGGAAAAAGTCGGTGAATAGAAAATACGTACTTGGATGGTAAAGATGTGGACCGCAGGATCGGCTCGCCACCCCGAACTTCCTCGTGTTTCTGGCTGGCTCAACAATACGAAAAATCGCACATCACCCGTGACCGTCGGAGGAAGCTCTGGGTGCTCTAACGTATCACTGACCGCGTGAACCCGTGGCCGGCGCACGGAACGTGTGTCGTACAGGTGCGAGAGTAGCGCACAGGATACCGGCAGGTAAGTACCGGCGCATCAGATAGAAACACAGGGAGAGAGAGAGAGAGAGAGAGAGAGAGAGAGAGAGCAAGAGAGGGAGAGCGAGAGAAAGAGAGAGGATAACGAGCCAGGATGAGAGACAAAAGTCGAAGGGCCGGCGTCGTGTTGCGTCGCGTCGCGAATGAGACGTACGACGATACTGAGGAGCCGTCGGCTAGGCATGCAAACCTCATAGCCGCGCAAGGATCTCTCGATCCTCGCCTCCTCGTCTATCAGACTATCACGGCTCCGCTACCTTTGTCCCTCTCTCCCATTCACGGGCGGATCGTCCTCTCCTCTTCCTGTCCACGTACCCGCTCACTTCCTCGCTTTCTCGCTTCCTCGTTCTCCCTGATCCTCCCTCTGATGTTAAACCGCTCCTCTCAGCCTGCCGCCGCTGCCGCCGCCGCCGCTGCTGCCCCTGTCCCCTAACCCCTTGCGATAGCCCCCTAACCGCGCGCTAGGTGCATCGGGCGATCCTAGCCGCCACCAGCGCACGCGCTTCACGCGCTGCTTACCTTTTACCATCCTCACACCCACTCTCTCACCTTCGTCGTCCTCCCCTCGGCCATCCTCTATCCGCGTCTCCTTTCTGTTTCGACGATCCTTCCTCTCTCTATCTCCCTCGCGAAATTTTTCCGCGTAACCCTCTCGCGGCGCTCCGTCTGGCCTGGTCATCTTCCTTCTATGTGACCCGATGCTATCTCCGGTGCTTTCTCTTTCTCCTTCGTTTCTCCCGGGAGACAGTTTCTGCTCGAAGAAATGTGTAGCGACCGGTTCCTCTTCGGTTTTCCTCGTCGACGGCTCCTGGACTTCCTTTGTCCCGGGTCCTCTGACCTCCACCCGCGCGGACCCCCGCCTTTTTCCCGATTTTCTCTTCTCGGGAAGAGCCCTCTTTCAGCGATCCCCTCGCAGACCCCGCGGCGGTCAATTTGCCAGGAAATGTGGACGAGATCGTGCGAAACAAGTGTTCGCGCAACCTGCGTTAACGCTTTGACGTTTCAGCGGCGTTCGTCATTGGTAAATAATTCGCGGTATCGACGAAGGAATTCTCGTTTGATTTCTGGTTTTCGTTTCGCACGACGGATCGTTCTGCAATCCCGGGCATGGTAAAATCCTTTTGCGATATTCTGACATCGAAATCGCGACGTATTAGCGAGATTTTTTAGTCACAACTGTTTCACCGTTGAGTTCTAAGAGTGCGTTTATAAGAATACAATAAATTCTCAGCAATTGTCCCTCGGCTTATAAACAAAAAATGGACAATTCGGGAAGGGGAGATACGATTATTCGAGCCTCCTCTTGCCAAATTGTCCCTTTTGTATACTAGCTCTGGGACAATTGAAGACAATTTACTGTATTCCTAAATTTTATTGAGTATTATACCGTTCGATAGCTGACCAAGAAAAACTCATCTGTGCAAAATCTGTGCAACTCCGCTAACCGAAGATGTTGAAATATGCATGAATGTTTAGATATATGTATATCGCAATATCCACATCGCAATTTTTTTTTCTCTTGAATCGCATTTTCTAGGTTAAAAAATTGCGTTAAAAATTACGTTTACGTAAAAATAACCTTTATTAGAATTACTTAATCTATACTTGCGGTAAACCTAACAAGTAATAACTTTCTTCCTCACAGCAAAAACGTCGACAAACATTCTAATTTTTTTTTACGGTGACGCAGTTCTACGGAAAATTTGAAAAAAATTGAGCACACTGCTTGTGGTAGTATCTTATCAGGGAATTAATTTCAGTATGACACAGTATTTTTGTTTTTTCGAGGTATCTTCAACTTTCCGATATTTTTTTTTTTGGTTTTCCATTTTTGATAACTACAGCTTGCAACCGAAAACTCCGAAAAAATTCTATAAAATGCAGCTCGATGTCCGAAATAAGCCACATTTTTTTTCAAAATTTTAAAAAGTCACCGAAGGGCGAAATGGGCAGAAATGCGTCCAAATTTAATTTACCCTGTAACTACCCTCATGGACAAGTTACAGAGTTGAAATTATGCACAAATGAGTTTCTCCTGGTCAGCTATGGAATGATATAATGCTCATTAAAAAACCTCTAAGAGCAATTAAATATAATCATAATTTTTTATCTAAATATAATTTTACGAAGATGGTTTTCTGTCGTAGCAAAAGAATCGCGCGAAAATCGGACTCCACAGACCAGAAAATCCTCAAGACAGAACTGTTTGTAATTGAATAAGATATCATTGTCAAAGATACGAACTTCGTCAACGGTTTTCGGCAAATCGACCGCTCTGCGGCATTTTTTACGCTTGTTTCGAGATCGTAACAGCAGCGTTCTCCTCCCCCCCCCCCCGTGCTTTTCCACGTCCCTGGAGCCCCGTTCCGAAAGATTACACCTTCTCCGTTAATTACTTTTCCCGCGCATCCAGCATCCTCAATCGCAAACCCGACGCGCTGCGCCGTCCACAGAAATTAACCCTTTGGCTTATGATCCTTCGCGTGGCTGCACTCGTCACGGCTGCATCGCTGCTAATTATTTCATAGGAGAAAGAGATAGCGTTTGTTGCCGTGGCAAGGGAGCCCCGGAAGAGTAATATCGATAAGGCAGATTTTAATAAACATTCTAACGATAAGGCGGAGAGTTATAATCCGGTGCTCGAAGATTTCGAAAGTTCTCCCGAGAAAGTTTTTCGAGAGGTCGTCGTGACGGGTCGGGGTTGAATAACCCGTCGACCGTGTAACTTTTCGAACCCGAATGCTCGCATAACCGTGATTAACATTCGCTCGAAAATTCAGAGAACCGAGGGGAACGAACTATTCGAACGATGCGCATGCGGCAGCTGCGACGACGAAAAACATTATCTTTCCGCGGAATTTGCGAAATTCTACTTTCGCATATTTCGTGGCTCTGCTATTATCGTTGTCGAGGGAAGAAATTCTCCGGTTCTGACGTTTCGAGGCGAGCGAAGACGATTCAACGTAAAGCGACGTGTTAACCAGAGTTCGAAAGAAAGTAAACTGGATACATGACACAAGTGTTGCGCAAGACGGAAGCTTCTCGAGTGACATACAAAGGGGGGAAAGGAATTGGTAGGAAGTTGCTAGTCGAGAACAGAGTTGAACATTGTTTGGATAAAAAGCTGCACCGAATAAGGATGTCGAAGAGATCGCGATTAAAAATTACAAAGTTCGCTCTACCGTATCTTTTCGACCCCCTGATTCACGCCATTTTGAGTCCGTATAATCTAATATAATAAAGGAACGGTAGTAGTCGAAATGGAAGAATAAAGTAAAACATTAGAATGTTACTTCGATATCGATCAAATCTCTTGATAAAATTCTATAGATTTTAATTGCGCATGAAATGTCTGATCACTCAACTACACATAATATTATATTTATTTAACACTCGAGCAGCGGAACACGAGTCCATTTGGACTCAGAGCATAAATATTGTTATTCGACTGTCTAGTTTCAGATAAATATTTGAAATGTTCTGTGGCGGTCATCGGTGCATGAAAGAATGAATGATTGCCGCGCAGATGTTCGATGGCCAGTTTATGACGCAAGTGACAACGAAAGTATTTTTTAAAGAAGCGTTCCAACGTGTATAAATTAGTATTGTAGACAAAGCATGTTTTCCGTTTGTTGGAATCTTCCGTTTTCGGTCTCAATAGCTCTCGCCGCCGAACAGCTCTGGAGAAAATCCAAAATTTGTAATCGGGACCGAATTCCCAGAAAAGGACGCGACACCGATTAACCAGTGAGCTATACAGCACTGACCAATTATCGAAAATCGTAGAATTAAGAACAGAAGCGAATTTTCATCCGATGACCGGAAAAACGATGTAGCAACTCTTGCGACCGACAAGGATTAGACTTATCAGCGACTACTGAAAATGAACTCAAGTACAAGAAAAGACAAGCAAAGACCCCTATATAAACATTAATAATGCGTTCCTCTGACATTTTTGCCTACCATAAAGAATAAGCGAAATATTCAAAATGCTCGAGCTAGGCGGAACATCCTGCAGTACAGTAAATTCTCAAAAATTTTTCTTCAGCTTATAATTAAATTTGGGAGGAGAGAGAGAGGAGATACGATTATTCGAGTCTCGCGGCTCATTTTTATAGTTTCCGATTGTCAATAATTACAAAAACGAGAATATATAATAATAATAATAATAATAATAATAATAATAACATAATTATACGAATAATCGCATCTCCTCTTCCCAAATTGTCTATTTTTGTTTACAAGCTGAAGGGAAATTAGGGAGAATTTACTGTATATGTTGATCTGCAAGACCTTGATTGGACTATATACCAAAATATTGCTGACTATTGGGCCCTGTTGGACGAGGGTGCCATGTTTGACTACTCTGGCTACGTAGGGCTATTAATGCGGCAGCAGCATTGGTTCATATTGTTGTTTTAACTGGAGATGTCAATTGAACCGCTGCATGAGTAACCAGTAAGTTGAACATATTCAAAGCGGCCATTGGCAAGGACAATTTGGAAGATCATATCAACAACATATGTACACTATTACCCAAGAGGAGATCTAGATTAGGAAACCATATGCAAAACGTTGGCGTCTTAGAGTCTTTTCACACGTGCCTGATAAAATTATCCAGTGTCGGATACCCGGTCACGAGATGTAAGACAAGAGTACCTATTATAGAACGCTTTTCAGGGGGTATAAGATTATCATCGATTTTAGTACAACTTTAAAGAATTATCATTGAATAATTACCCTACTGTTCGACAGATTGACGTTTCCGGATAACGTAATGAACTTTAAAATATCTATTTAATATGAATAAAAAAATAATGCGAATAAAACAATTAGAGAAAAGCGTGTACCTATTATGCAACGCCGTTTTCGTACCAAGTCGCCTGTATCATACTCAATGTCCCTTTTTAGAACACTCGTATCTAATTCCTGTTCCAGATTAGGAACATCGAATACGAAACTGCTTCGTGGCAGCTGTTCCATAAATTGGGATAATGAAGAAATTGAAGTACACAATATGGAACGGTATGTTCAAGCTTAGAAATACACGTATTCAAATAAACATTGTTTCTGCAGGTGATCGTCGCATAACAGTATTTGCGCAAATGAATTCATAAAGAACAATGTTCAAAGATATGGGTAGAATTTTTACATTAACTTACATGTGCTCTATATCTGTTTTTCTATTGTATCATTTGTGCTTCCGTTTCAAAAACGAATCACAGTTGAGCGGTGTTTTAAAATAGGTACCTTTACCTTATAAGAAAGTATGAGAGAGTTCACACTTTTTTTTTTTAAATCCGAACACTGAATTGCTGTCGGACAGAACCTTGGCAAGTACTCGATACCGGACGCCGGATACACGGAATCGAACACGTCGAGGTATATGAGATTCAATGCGAGCTCTTATCCGTCAGCAGTAGCAAAAACAGTTTGTATCTATCGTAACTGTATTTTGATTTTGTAGGTCACTCTGCGGTTTGTTGTATAATTCATTGAACGAGGAAACCGACGTACGAAAGTAACTGAAAAACTTTTCTCTATCTTCTCGTAGATCCTCGAATAATGCGTAAAACGCTCCAAATTGTTCCCTTTTCATATTGATAGAGCGCACCGAATGCATTCTTTGCATTTTCCTTTCACGTCGTATTTTATTTACGAGCCACGAAGCAAGGATGTGTTCGCGTTCCATGGCGGACATACCAGATACCATTGCTTTCGCTTCGCATGTATCGCATTTAATCGAGCGGGCCGGTTACAAATCGAAAAACGTGTGAAGACGCGTAAAGGCGAAGATATCAAACATCGGATACCCGGTGCTGGATGCGTGTGAAAAGACTCTTGCTGGTCTTGTTTACCGGTTCAGAGTATAACTTCACTTTCTTGAGTGATAGAACAGGTGGCTCTTTCGAATGCGACTAGGTCGCCGACGATCGTCGACGTGGTCTCGAGATCACGCTATTTTAACCACCGCCTGGCGGACTCAGGGTCCATGCGGACCCATACAACGTACATGTTTACATACATCGCGAAATGCAGTCGCGGCTAGCATCGCGGTTATGCCATGCAATACACATAGAATAAAAACTATGCAATAGACATACAATAAGAAAACAGTATTTTATGAATTATCTGTAATAATAAAGAATAATAAACAATCTATAAATAATATAAACCAAATCTCTAAAATAAATAATAAAACTCTATACAGGATGAGGAATTTGAAACGAGAAACCTGAATAACTCGCTTGTTTTTGACAATAAAAAAAAAGTGTCGGACAAAAGTTGTTTGATTTCGAGTGGCCTATTATATTATGGAGGACACATGAAAGTCAAACTTGTTTATTTAAATGGGATGACCTAATTTTTTATTCACACTCTGATAGAGCCTTTCAAGACGAATATAATGGCTTATAAATGAAGGTCATTCAAGGTCAACGGAATGTAAATAAAAAAATTAGATCTCATTTAAAAAAACAAGTTGGACCTTCATATGCCCTCCACGCCTCCACTGATAAAAAAATTATTGACATCATATAATAAGCCACTCGAAATCAAACAACTTCTGTCTGACACTATTTTTTCTATTGTGAAAAACAAGCGAGTTAGTCTGGTATTATGTTTCATATGCCCCACCCGGTATATTCAAATACTAAGTAATGAAATCAAGACTTGGGTCTGCATGTACACTAAGTCAGGCGCACGCGGTCATAAACAATTCGCCGTGCGAGGGTTAATGTTGATTATCTTATCAACAAAGGGATGCCGGCATCGAACTTCCGAGTT